CGCCCGCGATGCCCCTGCCTCACCCGCGCCTGCACTCGGTGCAGCCGCCCCTGCACCACCCAGCGCCTGCCCTTGGAGCAGCCGCCCCCGCTCCTGCACTCGGTGCAGCCGCCTCTGCCTCACCCCGCGTGTGCACTCGCTGCAGCCGCCCCTGCCCTACCCGCGCCGACCCTCTGTAGCCGCTCTACGGCTTTCTCCCCGCCCCCCCCCTCCTCCTTCGTCTCTTTGCAGCCGTGGGGGGGAGGGTATGGGGGTGGCGGGTGTGGGGGTGATGGGGGGTGTGCTTCCCTTCCCCTCCTCCTCCTTTTGTTCCCACTGCTGCAGTTGCCGCTGGGGGGGAGGGTGTGAGGGTGTGGGGGAGCCGGGGGAGTGGCACTGGGGTGGCGGGTGTGAGGCCAACCAGCAGCTGTCCCGCCACCTCTCCTCTCTTCCCCCCTCTGCTGCTCCTGCAGCAGTGTGGGGGGGAGGGGGAGGGGGAGGGTGAGGGGATGGAGGGGGTGACCAGCCAGAGCCAGCCCGCCTCCTCTCTCTCCCTGCTGCCCCTCCTGTGGTCGGGGGGGAGGAGAGTAAGGGGGTGGCAGAAGTGCCTTGCTATCGCCTGCCCCTTTGCTGCCGAACCTGTTCTGCTGCCTTGCCTGCTGTTTTCTCTGTCTGTGGTGTACCCCTGCAGGTTGTGTCTTTCACTTAGCTATTCCTGCATGCAGTTACGGGGGGATGTCAGAATTATATTATAACTGCATGTAGTTCTAGCCTTAGTGTAGTTATCCTAACTTCCTGCTTGGTGGTGTACCCACCTTTCCTACCCTATTTGTACTCAACTTTCTATAGTGAAATCATTCTCGCCTAAGATTCTCACAGCTACTGCTGTCTCTGACCAGCGCCCGTGCCTCCACCCCGACCGCCACCTCCACCGCCACCACCGCCCCGGCTGCCACCGCCGTTGCCACCGCCGCTGCCACCCCCTCCGCCGCCACCACCTCCACCGCCGCTGCCGACGCTACCACTCCCGCTAGCACTCCCGCCACCACTCCCTCCGCCACCTCCTCCTCCTCCACCGCCTCCACCACCACCCCCCCCGGTGCCACCTCCGCTACCCTTGGCCCCCTTGCCCTTGCCGTTGCGGCGCCTCCCACCAGGAGCAGAAGCAGCACCAGCAGACTCAGCACCAAGGAGGTCAACAGCAGCAGTAGTAGCGAAGGAGGGGGCGAGGGGAGAGGGAGAGCACCCCTCAAATATGGGGGTGCGAGGAGCGCCACGAGCAGCAGCTACAGCGACAATGCTCTTCTTTGCTGCAAGGAGGTGCTGCTCTAGGAGGTCGACAGTGAGTTCGGTGGGACAGCGAGCGAGAAAGTGGTCTCGGACCGAGCTAAGTGAGTCAAGGAGACGGGTGACTATGAAATGGAGGGTCCAGTACATCGGAGGCGGGTGCTTAGCACAAAATTCTTTGGGGAGGGCGGCGCGAAGGCGGGTGTCACTAGTGCGAAGGTGGGTAATGAGATCGGCAACTGTGGCAAAGGTGGACAGCTCAGGAAACAGGCAGGGCAGCATGAGGCGGCTGAGCTCAACTGTGGCAGGGGAGGAGTATCGAGCCACTACAGCGTCATAAAGGGCCTTAGCGGTCTTGTGCTCGCCAAAATGCGTGAGCTCAGCTAATGGAAGGTGATTGCGATTGGCTAGGCGCGCAGCAGCATCACGAGTCTGCCACTGGGAACGGGCGCTAAGCTCAGCGGAGGCAGCGGGAGCGACTGAGGCACCAGACGTGTGGTCATAGAGAGAGACATTGTCCTTGCTATCGCTCATTAGGAACAGCTGCAGGTCATCTAGCCTGGCTTCAAACTGAATCGGACGACCCTCGGCATCGAACGACAGAACTCGGAGGGTGGCCATAGCTGCTGTCGCGGGACTAGCAGCGCAGACCGATTGCAGGCAAGCAGCAGTAGCAGCAGCAGTAGCACTAGTAGCAGCAACAGTAGAAGCAGCAGTAGCAACCTAATGCCAGGCCCCTAGGCAGCGTGGCGCGGGTCGGGCACGGCGGGGCAGTGCGGCACTGACAGCAGCAGCAGCAGCGTAGCAGCGGCTGCAGCACTGGTAGGGCGGGCAGGGCGCAGGGCAGCGCGGGCAGGGCGCCTAGGGCAGGGCGCAGCAGGCAGCCGCGGCAGCAGGGCAGGCGGCGCACGGGGCTGCAGGGGAGCACTACAGGTGGCGCGTGGGGCGTAGCAGGCAGCCGTGGCAGAGGCAGGCGGCGTGCAGGGCTACAGGCGGCCGGCAAGGCAGCAGGGCGGGCCGTGCGCAGAGCGTAGCAGGCAGCTGCAGCAGCAGCAGGGCAGGCGCACGGGGCTGCGTGGCAGCGCGATAGGCAGCTCGCGGGGCGCGCGGGCTGCAGGCGGGCGGCGCGCGGGCTAGCAGGGGCTGCGTGCGGGCTGCGCGGGCTAGTAGGGGCTGCGTGCGGGCTGCGCGGACAGCGGGCGGGTCGCGCGGGCTACTGGCGGGCGGCGCGCAGGCCAGCAGAGGCGACGCGCGGGCCAGCAAAGGCGACGCGCGGGCCGTGCGGGCTGCTAGCGGGGCGCGCGCGGGACTAGGGCAGGGCAGAGTACGGGGTAGCGGGATACGGGCAGGTGGTAGGTGGTGGGCCCAAAAAAAAATTCGTCCTAAGGTCATAAGACCCTACATGCTCTTAATACCATGTTGATTAGGTAGCTTAGAATGTTTTGACTATAGAGTGAGTAGGGTATAAAGATGAGAGCCCTAAAGGGTTGTACCCTACATTGGCTACCCCACTACAGCCTACACCTAATTATAAACCATATATAGTTTGACAACTCCTCGCTTCGTCAACACGCCATGGATGAGGACGCTTAAACAGGATCGCAGTGTGGCTGTGCTTCCACTGAATCGTGGAGCTCACTATGAAGAGAATGGCGTTTTCATCCCGGAGCTCAACGCTACACTCCACGAAGTTAGAGACGCTGCACCGAACACGCTCGTGGTCCACCGAAGCACACTGGGAGGCCATCCCAATTGCACACGAGCAATTACAGGTCCTTATATGGAGCCTCCAGACTCGAGCTCCTACCCCTACTACTGGGGGGGGTTATGGATATTTATGGATGAGACCTGATGGGCATGCCAACCCTCCAAGGGATTGCCTGCATTATTGTCTCCTTGGGCCTATTTGGGTTAGCAGGTTTTATCACATGCATACACAGTTGTTGTAGACTGAATTTGTAGTCTTACTCGCAAAAGTGTAATTAATGTGGCTTGAGAACAGGCTGTTGGACTGTGCCATGCATTTCGTTCTTATCGGGTCATCAATTGTCAGACGTTGTCCCCAAAAGATCCCGCCACCAACCAACAGTCGTTCTGACCGTTGCTCACGGGCATCGCAACACAAGCACAACCTCCCCTCGTCGCCGTGTTACCTAGTTAGATTTCGTTAGCGGCAGTCTAGTTCGTCGTTCAGGTCGTTGCCCGTTCGTGAGGCGCGAAGCTCTACTTGCGAAATTCGGGCTTGGTGATTTCTGAATCCGATGTGCTTCCCGCCCCGTGGGTGTGTTTGTCCCAAGACACGGACCGACAAGCGCGTCTCTTCCCAATTCTTCCTCGTTTGTCGGACATTTTTCCACTTCAACCCGCTGATCAGGCGGTGTTCTCTCATTGTCATCGATCGAAAGACAGAAAATATTTAGCGCCAACCATCCGCCATAAAAATCAACCACTTTTTCTGAGTTGTGCTGAGCGACTGTCACTGAAGTTGGGCCTCAGCTGCTCCCTCCTTTCCTGCTACATTGTATGTAGGAGACATCGATGGATTGCTAATGGATTGTCCGTCACATAATCTCGGAGCTGAATTGGGTTAATGCTACCTGCAGCGTGCTTTTCTTGAGAATAGAGGGACCGTCTTTTGAAGGGACACGCGTACACGGTGCGTCATATGCTGCTTCGGAGCAGCATTGCCTTATCGCAATCGTCGTACAGAAACCCGAAATTGCCTAGTCCGACCTGCACACGTTACTAGAGATGCAGATTATATCGAGTTTTTTGGACGACGACCGATGACGATACCTGCGATGCCAAAACCCATGGCTGTTGGAAGCGTGCGGAGTTCCGTAATCGTTCTCTTCGCCACGTGCATCGCCGTTACGATCTGCTTCAAGATTATCGCGTCAGACTTTCGCGCGACCCTGTCGCCTATTCCGCTGGCAGTGTCGGCACTAGGCTTTAAAGGCCGCGAGGATAGGAGGAGAGCTGGCGGAGCAACAGAATTTGGGATAGGAAGTAAGGAAGGGGGAGGAGTTACTGGAGATGAAGTTGCAGCTGCCGATTCATCTCAGCCGTTGATCCCTGGGTCCAAGCTTTCCACTGTAGCGGAGGTTCGAAGTTTCGAGAGCAGATTTGAATGTTTAGCATCTAAAGGGCAGTGGGTTTATGACCCTAAGCCAAGGCACCTACCTTGGTGGGACGAAAAGAAAGATGGGTACTCTTCGTGTGACTACTGGTGGATTACAGAGGCCCAGAAAAACATTTCCGGGCAGAATGGTTCTCCTGGGGCAGCTGTATTTCGGAACATCGCGTATGACACTGCGGATGGAGTGGCTCGGAGGAGGGGGGGGAAGGCAGTGTGGCAGGTTCGACCGAGCGTGAAGTACCGGTGGGTGTTGCCGAAGCAGAAAGAGGATGACAATTCAGGAGAGGAGGGAGGAGGTGGAGGAATGGAAGAGTGTGGAGGAAGTGAGTGGTGGGGGGAAGTGGACTGCGCGCGGTTGAAAGCAGGGCTTGTTCCAAACGGAGGAAAGATCATGATAGTGGGGGATTCGTTAAACTTACAAGTATTCGAGGCGTTTAGGAATCTTATGAATATGTGCCAGAAGAAGTGTGTCTTCGATATGTGGACGAAATGGTATGCTGAAAGGAGGCAGCAGAGGCAGCAGAGGCGGCAGAGGCGGCAGGAGGCGCAGCAGCGACAGCAGGCGGCGCAGCAACAGCAGTCACGGTGGCAACAGATGCAAGTGCCAGGAAACCAACAGCAGGGGGTGCAGCAGATGCAGCAGGGGACGCAGCAGCGGCAGCAGGGGGTGCAGCAGATGCAGCGGGGAGCGCAGCAGGGGCAGCAGGGGGGGGAGCAGGGGCAGCAGGGGGGGGAGCAGGGGCAGCAGGGGGTGCAGCAAAAGCAGCCACGGCGGCAACAGCTGCAAGTGAGAGAAAACCAACAGCAGAAACAGGATGCGGAGCAGGAGGAATTTCAGGAGAGTAAACAGGAGGGCGAATTGGAGGGCAAACAGGAGGCGCAGCAGGAGCAGCAGCAGGAGAATGAGCAGCAGGAGCAGCAGCAGGCGTTGATCCATTACCAGCAGCAGCGGCAGCAACTAGAAGAAAGAATAAAGCAGGAATGCCCTGGAGTAGAGAAACTTGGACAGGAGACCTGTGCGGAGCATCGCAAGATTCGTGAAATCAGCTGGCAGTGCAAGGAAGTGCGATACGGGAACACTACAGTAGTGTACATTCGGAATGACCTCCTAAACACGTCAAACGACTACTTGATCCAAAAACCTCGCTGCATCAACACCCCTTGGATGAGGACGCTCAAGGAGGATCGCAGCGTTGCAGTGCTTCTACTGAATCGTGGAGCGCACTATGAAGAGAATGAAGTGTTCATCCCTGAGCTCAATGCTACACTCCATGAAGTTAGAGACGCGGCACCGGACACCCTCGTGGTCTACAGAAGCACGCCGGGGGGCCATCCCAACTGCACAAGGGCAATCACAGATCCTTACAAGGAGCCTCCGGACATGAGCTCCTATCCATTCCACTATGGCGATTTTGATGAACAAAACATGATTGCGAAGCAATTGGTGAAGGAAACTGGAGGGGTGTTTATGGATGTTGACAGGATGACAGAGATGAGACCCGACGGGCATATGGGCCCTCCAAAAGATTGTCTGCATTATTGTCTCCCTGGGCCTATAGACACATGGGTTAGCGTGTTTTACCACATGCTTACACAGTTGCTGTAAATTGCATTCATATTCTTTTGTTGCCATCCATGTAGAAACTCTATTGTACAAAGCATGCATGCAGAAAAGTCCAGAGAATAAATCTAAAGCATGAGCAATAGGTAGCAATTCAGGCCATTTAGTATCGGTCCATGATCACCCTGGCGCATATCCCATCTGCTCATGACGAATTTGACAGGATGTCAGTTCACCTTCGGCATTTCCAAGGCGTGTTTCATCGCCGAATTCCCACTAGCCGAAGCCTCTGCTCCCTGGACTTGCGGTGCTGTCAGATTCACATTTCCTCACCCGCGCATTTCCTAAAGCAGCCTTCGACAGGCTCACATGACCCTGTGTCCCTTCATTCGAGGGAGCTATCTCGCTGCTCGTACGATCGACGTTCCTGCTCTCCGCTTTTCCGCTCGTCGTCATTCAACTGTTAGCGTCTCGCTCTTTCTGTCTAATCCCAGCGCTGCCGTTCTCAGTATTCAGTCTCCGAAAGCCGTCAGCAAGAAGCTCTCAGAGTCCGATTTTCTCGGCGTCCCGCTCGTCAAGCGAAATTCGCGAAGGCCGCGAACAGTAACAGCAGCAGCGGTGAAGGCGACGGCATCAGCGGCAACACCGGGTACACTTTCTGACCAAGCTAATGTTAGCAGTCGCGAATGGTCACGTATTGTCTGGCTCTACATGTGTATGAGCAGTCTGAAAACCGAACATCCGCAACAGCGATGTGTGTCACCCAGCAGGAGATGTCTTGACGCTCCTGGTCCATGCTTCGTAGCTTTCGAGTCGAGTCGAGAGTGTTTTGGAACTCCTGTTTCATGCTGACGCTGACGCGTCTGACGCTGACCATTTTACAAGTTTCTTTCGACACGAGCTGCCGCTGACGCGTCCTCCTTGTTCCAACAATTTCCGCATAAGATTGCCTGCTTTTTCTGATACTGCTACATCGTATTTTGTATAGTAAGGTTTCCGTATTATTATCCTAATTTTCTATTCTGGGGTTGCTCTTACGGGGTTACTTTGTAACAGGCGCAGCAAATCTGCAGGGAGTGTCGGAAGAAGCTATGGAGAAGCAGGGAATTCTCGTCTACGGTGCCACAGGTATCGTGTGACGTGTGCCACGTGTGAATTGTGCCACAGATAACGTATGCTACAGATGTGACATATGCTGCAAATGTATGCTACATATGAGGTGCTCCCTACATGGAACGTGTGCTACAGGTGGAAGGTGTGCTTGAGATGTTTGTAAAAGTTATGAGGTGTGTCTGTTAAATGCGATGCGTGCGTGCTACAGCTGTAAAGCTTTCTATGGTGTTCCCTCTCCCCCTCACCAGGCACCACTGGCACGCACGCTCATAGCCCAGACCAGAAGATAAAAAAGGTCGGCCCTCTGGTCACTACCCAAATCTCTTCTGGTTCTCTCTCTTCCTTCCTGTGCGTTCTATGGTGTTCCCTCTCCCCCTCACCAGGCACCACTGGCACGCTCATAGCCCAAAAGATCAAGGAGGTGGGCCTTCCAGCCACTCTCGCTGGGAGAAATCTGCAGAAGCTACAGTAAGATGTTTGAGATTTTCGGTATTTGTACATTACCTACCTACCGGTGCTAACAGACAAGATGCTGCAGATTTCCTGCTTCTTCTCCTTCTGCTCTCTTCGGTTAAACATGTATTGGGACCGCTCAAAACTTGCCACCATGCTCTGTCCCTGCTTCTTCCTGCCTGCACCTCTCTTCTCACTCGTCCTGGCGCCCCAGGTCTATCTGCAAGGCTGTGGATCTGCCTGTGACGTGTGTGGGCTTGAATGTTGTTCCAGCCATCTCTACCCTCCCTTCTTCCCCCCCCCCCCCTATTCTTCCTGCGCTACCTGACTTTCCAAGTCAATCGGCCAGGCTGTGGATCTGCCTGTAGCAGCGGTGCTGTGCACTCGAGCAATGTTTTAGCCATCCCTCCTCCCCCCTTTTTTTCCCTCTATTCTTCCTTATTTCTTGGTTCTCCAGGTCGATTCTTCCTGCTTTCCTGGCCCTCCAGGTCTATTCGCAAGGCTGTGGATCTTCCTGCAGCAGCAGTGGACGCGAGCGTTGTTTGAGTAGACTCCTGAATTCTTCCCCTCTTGCTCCCAAGGTCGATCGGCGGCTGTGGATCTGCCTGTAGCAGCGGTGGACTTGAACGACGTTCAAACGTACTCCCAACCATTCCTCCCATTTCCATCCATCTCTTTTGAGTCGACTAAAAAATACTCCCCAACCATCCCCCCCATTTCCATCCATCTCTCTTGCTTCCCAGGTCGATTGGCAAGGCTGTTGATCTGCCTGTAGCAGCAGTGGACTTGAACGATACGCAGGGATTGGTGGAGCTGGTGGGGAAGCACAAGGTGGTGCTGCACGTGGCTGGGGTGAGTTGTGCCTTGGCTGGGGCGAGTGATGAATTCTGCCGGGATAGGTGCAGAGAGCTGCTTCTTAGTCGACTCAAGAGCTGCTTTGAAAAACTGATCCAGCAGCTGCAACAGAAGCCATTGCAGCTACTGGAGCAACACGAGCCATCGCAGCAGGAGCAGCAGGGAGGAGGTCAAAATGTTAAGAAGGAGCGAGCCAAAAAAACGCGGGGAAAAAAGATGCAGCAAGCGGGTGAGCAACAGGAGGGTGAGCCGCAGGAGGATGAACAACAGAAGGGTGGGCAGCAGGAGGAGGGTGGGCAATTGCAGGGTGAGCAGAAGGAGCAGGGCGGAAATCAGGTCACGAAGCAGGAAGGGAAGAAGCAGGGTCTCAGTCCTCGCTGCTTCTTCCCTTTCTGCTTCGTGACCTGATTATCTCCTTGCTCCTACTGCTCACCCTGCAGCTGCCCACCCTCCTTCTGCTGCCGACCCTTCTGTTGTTCACCCTCCTGCGGTTCACCCTCTTGTTGCTCACCCGCTTGCTGCAACTTCTTTCCCCGCGTTTTTTTTGCTCGCTGCTTCTTAACCTTTTGACCTCCTCCTTGCTGCTCCTGCTGCAACGGTTCGTGTTGCTCCAGCAGTTGCAATGGGTTCTGTTGCAGCTGTTGAATCAATTTTTCAAACTGCTGCTGTTGCAGCTTTTGCTCGTTGTCAGCAACATCTGCAATTATCCACAGCCCTTTACAATCATTTCGACAATCACTTCGAAGCCCTTGATTGAAGTTTGCATCAGCACCGGCACCCACTCCCTTGATCTATAGCACTGAGGATTGGCTTTTGAATCGACTCAAGTTCAAGAGTCTCTTCTGTGTTTCCCCGCGCATTGTGTCACAGCCCTTTACAATCACGTCCAAGCCCATGATTGAGGCGTGCATCAGCACTGGCACCCACTACCTCGATGTCACTGGGGAGTTCAAGGTGTGTCCTCATGACACTTAATTAAGATAATTTTATTGATTTGGTGTGGAGCTGTTTGACTGCTGGTACCTGGTAAGGTTCCAATAACGCAGAGAGTTAGTGTTTTTCTATTAAAGTGTTTACATGTCTGCGGACCTGTACTGGCTTGTATCTGCTGCACATGGATGGCATGGCATGGCATGGTATGGCAGGTGATGGAGCATGCGCGCACATATGATGCCACAGCCAAGGAAAAGGGCATTATGATTCTCCCTGCTGTCGGCTTTGACGTTATTCCGGGAGGTATGCTGGTCATGGTGCTGACAATCCAGGTGGTGTGATTCGACTCAATTCAAGTTGTGAGGTCAGAAAGCTGCTCTCTGTTTCCAGTTTTCGAACGCCCAGACTGCCAGGCAGGGTACCTTAAGGCCAAACTCCCTTGAGCAACATCAGTAAATCACGTCCACTCTCCCACCTTCTGTTCATCCCTTTCCTTCCCAATTGTTAAACCACCAGACTGCCGGGCAGGGTACTGCAAGGGCAAGCTCCCTTCAGCAACGTGATTGAATCACGTCCATAATCCTACGACCTGTTTACCCCTCCCCTTTTCTCCTCTCCCTCCCCGATCCTCCCCAACTATTAACACCAACGCCCAGACTGCCTGGCAGGGTACCTAAAGGGCAAGCTGCCTTCAGCAACGGAGCTTCACCTTGCCACTTTCTTTTCCACCACTGCTCCTGTGAGTCTCTGTGTGTGTGTGTGTCCGTGTGTGTAATTATGTACACAGCAATTGCTCTGTGGGCGTGAGGACGTCTACCCCACCCAGCACCTGATGTTCTGGCGCCCGATCTGAAATCACTTTTGAGAATTCTCAAAAGTGAATTCAATATAGAGGATGTCTACCCCACCCAGCACCTGATGTTCTGGCGCCCAATGTGAACATGCCATCTCACTCACGGTATGCTGATATCGGCACCAAAAACATTCTGCCCATGGTGTGGGGGAGACTACCCTTCTGTTCCTGCACCATCTGTCAGGGCGGGGACCCTCTGTCCACCCCACCCAACGCTCTGCCGTCCAACGGCACGCTGATATCGGGCGCGAAGCACAATCTGACGCTGGGAGGGCTGGACTTATTGCTGCTGTCTTTCTTTCTCCATTACCCTTCCGTCATTTGTGCCAGGGCGAGGACCCTCTGTCCAAACCACCCAACGCCCTGCCGTCCCACGGCACGCTGATATCGGGCGCCAAGCACATTCTGACACTGTGTCTTTTTTAACCCCAATACTTGAATCCCAACAACCTCCCAACCAACAGGGCGAGGACCCTCTGTCCAAACCACCCAACGCCCTGCCGTCCCACGGCACGCTGATATCGGGCGCCAAGCACATTCTGACACTGTGTCTTTTTTAACCCCAATACTTGAATCCCAACAACCTCCCAACCAACAGGGCGAGGACCCTCTGTCCAAACCACCCAACGCCCTGCCGTCCCACGGCACGCTGATCTCGGGCGCCAAGCACATTCTGACACTGTCTTTTTTAACCCCAATACTTGAATCCCAACAACCTCCCAACCAACAGGGCGAGGACCCTCTGTCCAAACCACCCAACGCCCTGCCGTCCCACGGCACGCTGATCTCGGGCGCCAAGCACATTCTGACACTGTGTCTTTTTTAACCCCAATACTTGAATCCCAACAACCTCCCAACCAACAGGGCGAGGACCCTCTGTCCAAACCACCCAACGCCCTGCCGTCCCACGGCACGCTGATCTCGGGCGCCAAGCACATTCTGCCCATGGGAGGGCTGGTGCGCAGGAATGGAGCTATTGTGAAGGAGGCTATTGCGAAATAGTGAGTGCAGCTGGGAATGGGAAGGACCGTATTGCAATCAAAGTAGTGAGTGAGCGTGTTCTTGTGTGAAGCACAACCTCTGTCCACAGGCTTGTTTTTGAGTGGTCGCTCCTTCCTCATCGCAAGGAGGAGCCGCCCCCACAGGGCAACACGTCTTTCCCAGCAGCTCATCTCCTTCCCACCTCCCATCTTTCTCAAAACACTTGTTCCTGTGCCACTCCTTCCCCTCGAACCCCCCGCTCGCTTCCACAGTCGCTCCTTCCTCATTCGCAAGGAGCTGCCCCCTCGTTCCACCATGTCCTTCCCAGCAGCTCGTCTTTGCACCACCTCCCTCTCCACACCTCCCTTTCAATCCAGCAGCCTTGCTTCTGTGCCTCTCTTCCCCGTCACCCCCCTCCCAGTGGGCGCTCCTTCCTCGTTCGCAAGGAGCTGCCCCCTCGTTCCACCATGTCCTTCCCAGCAGCTCGTCTTTGCACCACCTCCCTCTCCACATCTCCCTTTCAATCCAGCAGCCTTGCTTCTGTGCCTCTCTTCCCCGTCACCCCCCTCCCAGTGGTCGCTCCTTACTCATTCGCAAGGAGCTTCCGCCTCTCTCCACCATGTCCTTCCCAGCAGCTGAGCTCTTCAGCACCTCCCTCTCCACCTCCCTTCTCTTCCATCCACACCTATCCCCCCCCTCCCCCCTTGCAGTGGTCGCTCCTTCCTCATTCGCAAGGAGCTTCCGCCTCTCTCCACCATGTCCTTCCCACCAGCTGAGCTCTTCGGCACCTCCCTCTCCACCTCCCTTCTCTCCCATCCACACCTATCCCCCCCTCCCCCCTTGCAGTGGTCGCTCCTTCCTCATTCGCAAGGAGCTTCCGCCTCTCTCCACCATGTCCTTCCCAGCAGCTGAGCTCTTCGGCACCTCCCTCTCCACCTCCCTTCTCTCCCATCCACACCTATCCCCCCCTCCCCCCTTGCAGTGGTCGCTCCTTCCTTATTCGCAAGGAGCTTCCGCTTCTCTCCACCATGTCCTTCCCAGCAGCTGAGCTCTTCAGCACCTCCCTCTCCACCTCCCTTCTCTTCCATCCACACCTATCCCCCCCCTCCCCCCTTGCAGTGGTCGCTCCTTCCTTATTCGCAAGGAGCTTCCGCCTCTCTCCACCATGTCCTTCCCAGCAGCTGAGCTCTTCAGCACCTCCCTCTCCACCTCCATTCCCAACATCACTGTCTACGTGCCAGGTCAGCTACCCTCTCCTTTGTACTGCTCTTGTTCCTTCCTTATGTTTCTCTTTTCATTGCTCTCCACGTTCTTCTCTTGCTCAGCTGATTCATCCTTCCTCTCGTCACCATTTCCCTCTTCACCTTTTCTTCCTCCCCTCATGTCTCTCTTTCTCTTTCCTCACACTTCTCTCTTTCTCTTTCCTCACAATTCTCTCTTTTCATTTCTCTCTCCTCTCTCGCATTCTCCCTCTCTCTCCCTCACTTCCGCACCAACCAGGTAAATCTTCCTGGGTGACGTCACTGTTCATCCGCATCATTCAGTTCGCCGCCCGGGTCTGGCCCTTCACCGTCCTCCTCGAGAAAGCCATCCGAATGCTGCCCACCCCAGACACCACCCCGGTAAGTATTTGAGTTGCGAGTGCATCAGCAGCCTCTGCTGTTTCTGTGTCCTTTAGACACTGTCCGCAGCCCCCTGCGTCTGGCCCTTCACCGTCCTCCTCAAGAAAGCCATCCGAATGCTGCCCACCCCAGACACCACCCCGGTAGGCATCTTCCTAGTTAGTGCCTCCACAGTCTCTGATGCTCCAGCATCCGCTGGTGCTTCAGCATCCTATAGTGGTGCTTCAGCATCCTATAGTGGTGCTTCAGCATCCTATAGTGGTGCTTCAGCATCCTATAGTGGTGCTTCAGCATCCTATAGTGGTGCTTCAGCATCCTATAGTGGTGCTTCAGCATCCTATAGTGGTGCTTCAGCATCCTATAGTGGTGCTTCAGCATCCTATAGTGGTGCTTCAGCATCCTATAGTGGTGCTTCAGCATCCTATAGTGGTGCTTCAGCATCCTATAGTGGTGCTTCAGCATCCTATAGTGGTGCTTCAGCATCCTATAGTGGTGCTTCAGCATCCTATAGTGGTGCTTCAGCATCCTATAGTGGTGCTTCAGCATCCTATAGTGGTGCTTCAGCATCCTATAGTGGTGCTTCAGCATCCTATAGTGGTGCTTCAGCATCCTATAGTGGTGCTTCAGCATCCTATAGTGGTGCTTCAGCATCCTATAGTGGTGCTTCAGCATCCTATAGTGGTGCTTCAGCATCCTATAGTGGTGCTTCAGCATCCTATAGTGGTGCTTCAGCATCCTATAGTGGTGCTTCAGCATCCTATAGTGGTGCTTCAGCATCCTATAGTGGTGCTTCAGCATCCTATAGTGGTGCTTCAGCATCCTATAGTGGTGCTTCAGCATCCTATAGTGGTGCTTCAGCATCCTATAGTGGTGCTTCAGCATCCTATAGTGGTGCTTCAGCATCCTATAGTGGTGCTTCAGCATCCTATAGTGGTGCTTCAGCATCCTATAGTGGTGCTTCAGCATCCTATAGTGGTGCTTCAGCATCCTATAGTGGTGCTTCAGCATCCTATAGTGGTGCTTCAGCATCCTATAGTGGTGCTTCAGCATCCTATAGTGGTGCTTCAGCATCCTATAGTGGTGCTTCAGCATCCTATAGTGGTGCTTCAGCATCCTATAGTGGTGCTTCAGCATCCTATAGTGGTGCTTCAGCATCCTATAGTGGTGCTTCAGCATCCTATAGTGGTGCTTCAGCATCCTATAGTGGTGCTTCAGCATCCTATAGTGGTGCTTCAGCATCCTATAGTGGTGCTTCAGCATCCTATAGTGGTGCTTCAGCATCCTATAGTGGTGCTTCAGCATCCTATAGTGGTGCTTCAGCATCCTATAGTGGTGCTTCAGCATCCTATAGTGGTGCTTCAGCATCCTATAGTGGTGCTTCAGCATCCTATAGTGGTGCTTCAGCATCCTATAGTGGTGCTTCAGCATCCTATAGTGGTGCTTCAGCATCCTATAGTGGTGCTTCAGCATCCTATAGTGGTGCTTCAGCATCCTATAGTGGTGCTTCAGCATCCTATAGTGGTGCTTCAGCATCCTATAGTGGTGCTTCAGCATCCTATAGTGGTGCTTCAGCATCCTATAGTGGTGCTTCAGCATCCTATAGTGGTGCTTCAGCATCCTATAGTGGTGCTTCAGCATCCTATAGTGGTGCTTCAGCATCCTATAGTGGTGCTTCAGCATCCTATAGTGGTGCTTCAGCATCCTATAGTGGTGCTTCAGCATCCTATAGTGGTGCTTCAGCATCCTATAGTGGTGCTTCAGCATCCTATAGTGGTGCTTCAGCATCCTATAGTGGTGCTTCAGCATCCTATAGTGGTGCTTCAGCATCCTATAGTGGTGCTTCAGCATCCTATAGTGGTGCTTCAGCATCCTATAGTGGTGCTTCAGCATCCTATAGTGGTGCTTCAGCATCCTATAGTGGTGCTTCAGCATCCTATAGTGGTGCTTCAGCATCCTATAGTGGTGCTTCAGCATCCTATAGTGGTGCTTCAGCATCCTATAGTGGTGCTTCAGCATCCTATAGTGGTGCTTCAGCATCCTATAGTGGTGCTTCAGCATCCTATAGTGGTGCTTCAGCATCCTATAGTGGTGCTTCAGCATCCTATAGTGGTGCTTCAGCATCCTATAGTGGTGCTTCAGCATCCTATAGTGGTGCTTCAGCATCCTATAGTGGTGCTTCAGCATCCTATAGTGGTGCTTCAGCATCCTATAGTGGTGCTTCAGCATCCTATAGTGGTGCTTCAGCATCCTATAGTGGTGCTTCAGCATCCTATAGTGGTGCTTCAGCATCCTATAGTGGTGCTTCAGCATCCTATAGTGGTGCTTCAGCATCCTATAGTGGTGCTTCAGCATCCTATAGTGGTGCTTCAGCATCCTATAGTGGTGCTTCAGCATCCTATAGTGGTGCTTCAGCATCCTATAGTGGTGCTTCAGCATCCTATAGTGGTGCTTCAGCATCCTATAGTGGTGCTTCAGCATCCTATAGTGGTGCTTCAGCATCCTATAGTGGTGCTTCAGCATCCTATAGTGGTGCTTCAGCATCCTATAGTGGTGCTTCAGCATCCTATAGTGGTGCTTCAGCATCCTATAGTGGTGCTTCAGCATCCTATAGTGGTGCTTCAGCATCCTATAGTGGTGCTTCAGCATCCTATAGTGGTGCTTCAGCATCCTATAGTGGTGCTTCAGCATCCTATAGTGGTGCTTCAGCATCCTATAGTGGTGCTTCAGCATCCTATAGTGGTGCTTCAGCATCCTATAGTGGTGCTTCAGCATCCTATAGTGGTGCTTCAGCATCCTATAGTGGTGCTTCAGCATCCTATAGTGGTGCTTCAGCATCCTATAGTGGTGCTTCAGCATCCTATAGTGGTGCTTCAGCATCCTATAGTGGTGCTTCAGCATCCTATAGTGGTGCTTCAGCATCCTATAGTGGTGCTTCAGCATCCTATAGTGGTGCTTCAGCATCCTATAGTGGTGCTTCAGCATCCTATAGTGGTGCTTCAGCATCCTATAGTGGTGCTTCAGCATCCTATAGTGGTGCTTCAGCATCCTATAGTGGTGCTTCAGCATCCTATAGTGGTGCTTCAGCATCCTATAGTGGTGCTTCAGCATCCTATAGTGGTGCTTCAGCATCCTATAGTGGTGCTTCAGCATCCTATAGTGGTGCTTCAGCATCCTATAGTGGTGCTTCAGCATCCTATAGTGGTGCTTCAGCATCCTATAGTGGTGCTTCAGCATCCTATAGTGGTGCTTCAGCATCCTATAGTGGTGCTTCAGCATCCTATAGTGGTGCTTCAGCATCCTATAGTGGTGCTTCAGCATCCTATAGTGGTGCTTCAGCATCCTATAGTGGTGCTTCAGCATCCTATAGTGGTGCTTCAGCATCCTATAGTGGTGCTTCAGCATCCTATAGTGGTGCTTCAGCATCCTATAGTGGTGCTTCAGCATCCTATAGTGGTGCTTCAGCATCCTATAGTGGTGCTTCAGCATCCTATAGTGGTGCTTCAGCATCCTATAGTGGTGCTTCAGCATCCTATAGTGGTGCTTCAGCATCCTATAGTGGTGCTTCAGCATCCTATAGTGGTGCTTCAGCATCCTATAGTGGTGCTTCAGCATCCTATAGTGGTGCTTCAGCATCCTATAGTGGTGCTTCAGCATCCTATAGTGGTGCTTCAGCATCCTATAGTGGTGCTTCAGCATCCTATAGTGGTGCTTCAGCATCCTATAGTGGTGCTTCAGCATCCTATAGTGGTGCTTCAGCATCCTATAGTGGTGCTTCAGCATCCTATAGTGGTGCTTCAGCATCCTATAGTGGTGCTTCAGCATCCTATAGTGGTGCTTCAGCATCCTATAGTGGTGCTTCAGCATCCTATAGTGGTGCTTCAGCATCCTATAGTGGTGCTTCAGCATCCTATAGTGGTGCTTCAGCATCCTATAGTGGTGCTTCAGCATCCTATAGTGGTGCTTCAGCATCCTATAGTGGTGCTTCAGCATCCTATAGTGGTGCTTCAGCATCCTATAGTGGTGCTTCAGCATCCTATAGTGGTGCTTCAGCATCCTATAGTGGTGCTTCAGCATCCTATAGTGGTGCTTCAGCATCCTATAGTGGTGCTTCAGCATCCTATAGTGGTGCTTCAGCATCCTATAGTGGTGCTTCAGCATCCTATAGTGGTGCTTCAGCATCCTATAGTGGTGCTTCAGCATCCTATAGTGGTGCTTCAGCATCCTATAGTGGTGCTTCAGCATCCTATAGTGGTGCTTCAGCATCCTATAGTGGTGCTTCAGCATCCTATAGTGGTGCTTCAGCATCCTATAGTGGTGCTTCAGCATCCTATAGTGGTGCTTCAGCATCCTATAGTGGTGCTTCAGCATCCTATAGTGGTGCTTCAGCATCCTATAGTGGTGCTTCAGCATCCTATAGTGGTGCTTCAGCATCCTATAGTGGTGCTTCAGCATCCTATAGTGGTGCTTCAGCATCCTATAGTGGTGCTTCAGCATCCTATAGTGGTGCTTCAGCATCCTATAGTGGTGCTTCAGCATCCTATAGTGGTGCTTCAGCATCCTATAGTGGTGCTTCAGCATCCTATAGTGGTGCTTCAGCATCCTATAGTGGTGCTTCAGCATCCTATAGTGGTGCTTCAGCATCCTATAGTGGTGCTTCAGCATCCTATAGTGGTGCTTCAGCATCCTATAGTGGGTGCTTCAGCATCCTATAGTGGTGCTTCAGCATCCTATAGTGGTGCTTCAGCATCCTATAGTGGTGCTTCAGCATCCTATAGTGGTGCTTCAGCATCCTATAGTGGTGCTTCAGCATCCTATAGTGGTGCTTCAGCATCCTATAGTGGTGCTTCAGCATCCTATAGTGGTGCTTCAGCATCCTATAGTGGTGCTTCAGCATCCTATAGTGGTGCTTCAGCATCCTATAGTGGTGCTTCAGCATCCTATAGTGGTGCTTCAGCATCCTATAGTGGTGCTTCAGCATCCTATAGTGGTGCTTCAGCATC